CTGTGAGTTTTGCAAAACTTGTCATAAGAATATTTTATTAGTGTTAATGTTAACTCCACCAAGAATATTTAAATACACTGAACCATGTATTCAGCTTTAATGGCTGTACGTCTAAGATTTACAGAGGGAGAAATTGTGAGAATAAGTTTAGTAATCAGCCGTGACGGATTAAACGCGCAGATACTTCATTGCGCCTGCCAAACAGGTTACACTGAGTAGAGCGGGCGACCGTTCCAAGATGGCGGCCCTACGGTCAATGCGGTATCTAGCTTTTATATGATATCTATGGTTCTGTTTGTGATCTGAGCTGCCTACTAAGACCACAGTGCATCGCGAAATACAGGCTACGCGCATGCGCATCAAGTGGTTGAATAGCTGTCCGCTAGGTGGCAGCAGTGCGCCTCCACAGAACCAAACACAGAAAGCTGCGCGCGCAACAGTCGCCATATTTGTAATCCACAGACAAGCGCCAGTCCCGCAGTTCAAATTGTTTTGTTACTGTAATTCGACATAAACCGTCATGTCTAACCGAAATATGCAACAAGGGAGAATGCTGGGTGGGAATTCTCCCGCCGCACCGGCCAAAAGAGCGACAGACTCTCCGGCGTCGGAGAAGCACACGCCGGCTAACAAAGGCAGCCCAGCCCCGCCGCCGCCGCGGTCCCCCTCGGCCGAACGAGCAGAAGGAGCCGCGGAGGGAAGCGGCGAAGGCCCGTCGCAGATGACCCTGGACCTCTCCAGCTTTCGGCGGCCTGGAGAGAAAACGTTCACCCAGCGCGCTCGGCTGTTCGTGGGCAGCCTGCCGCTGGATGTCACGGAGGAGGAGTTCAGGAAGCTGTTCGCTAAATACGGGAACATCAGCGAGGTGTTCCTCAACAGAGAGCGGGGCTTCGGCTTCGTTCGCCTGGTATGGAGGGATTTATGTCCCGCTTACTTACACGAAGGACTTTGAATTTTGTTTAAAAAAATTAGTTAAAACTCATTTATTGTTGACTAAATATTTAAAACGATTTGTATAAAGTCCCAATTTTTAAATCCTTATTTTACAATTTATACCAAAGTACCGGAAACTTCACTTTTTAAATTAAGTTATACGTGGGCCACAAAAATGTGAATTTAACTCGACATGAACACTATTTTGGAGAAAGGACAAAAATTTACTAAATTTGGTGGAAAGAGTTTTAAATTGTTGTACATCCAAAACTTCAAAAAGCCTCATAAACACTAAGTTTACCGTATTTTTCGGAGTATAAGGCACACCAGATTATAAGGCTCACCAGATTATAAAACTCACCAGATTATAAAACTCACCAGATTATAAGGCTCACCAGATTATAAAGCTCACCAGATTATAAAACACCAGATTATAAGACTCACCAGATTATAAAGCGCACCAGATTATAAGGCTCACCAGATTATAAAACTCACCAGATTATAAGGCTCACCAGATTATAAGACTCACCAGATTATAAGGCTCACCAGATTATAAGGCTCACCAGATTATAAGACTCACCAGATTATAAGGCTCACCAGATTATAAGACTCACCAGATTATAAGGCGCACCAGATTATAAGGCGCACCAGATTATAAAGCGCACCAGATTATAAGGCTCACCAGATTATAAGGCTCACCAGATTATAAGACTCACCAGATTATAAGGCTCACCAGATTATAAGGCTCACCAGATTATAAAACTCACCAGATTATAAGGCTCACCAGATTATAAAACTCACCAGATTATGACTCACCAGATTATAAAACTCACCAGATTATAAGGCTCACCAGATTATAAGGCTCACCAGATTATAAGACTCACCAGATTATAAGACTCACCAGATTATAAGGCTCACCAGATTATAAGGCTCACCAGATTATAAAACTCACCAGATTATAAGGCTCACCAGATTATAAGGCTCACCAGATTATAAGACTCACCAGATTATAAGGCTCACCAGATTATAAGGCTCACCAGATTATAAAACTCACCAGATTATAAGGCTCACCAGATTATAAGGCTCACCAGATTATAAGGCTCACCAGATTATAAGGCTCATTTTGACAGATTTTTGTGTGCCGTGCACCACATAAAATCGGTTTGAAGTCGGTAAGCACAACCAAAGTTAACACATAAGGTGCACTGTTGATTTTTGAGCAAATTAATTTGTTCTAGAACAGCGCCGCTCCAGGTGGCTGCATGTCGGAGCAGCTCTGTTACTTTCATTCTGAGATTTTGCTTTTGGAAACTTTAATTCCTCTTTTTTTGGATGTAAGTTACATTTTTTTGGACGATTGTTTCCTCTGGTATCAGCTGGAAGGATTCTTACTGAAACTTTTTTAGTTTTGGACATTTGTTATGATGCGTAACCATGGCAACAAGGCAGTTTTCTACAACCAGCAGCTGATTAACATCTCGAAAGCTCAATTAATATCTCAGCTACAGCCCCAAATCTCAAGTGAGTTGAAAAGGATGTTCTGTGGACGCATTCTCATCTACCTGCCAGCTGTGCTCGAGTGCCTGACCACTGAGATCCAGAAGGAAACACGGCTCATGACAGCGGAAGGACAGGATCGTCCCTCGGCACCTACAGTCGGCTGTCCGCAGCGACGAGGAGCTCGGCAGTCTGCTGGGAGGAGTGGCCATCGTTCTGGGAGGAGTTCTGCCCGGCATTCGGGCGGTCCTACAGGCCGGGGGAACTGAGAGGCCAGCCAAGTCTGGGTGGAGTTTCTTAGGATCCACTGTGGGATGGACCTTTACAAGAGATCCTTCCTGCCTACAGTCATCAGCATCTATAACATCTCTTAATGAAATGAGGACAACGAGTTACTACAACAAATAATTTCCCTCTGGGATGAATAAAGTATTTTTGAATTGAATTGAAATTAAAGGATTTTAAGTGCGTCTTATAGTCCGAAAAATACAGTTAGTGATGCACGATATTGGATTTTTGCCCGACATGTTAAAACTTATTCAACCGATACCAATATTTTATATACGTTCCTTTGTCAGAACATAGCCCTCTTATGGATAGTACTTTAACTTGTATTAAATGAAAAGTGTTAAATATTTATTAGCATTAGTCACCAGCGATGCTGTCTCTTGTGGAGGCTTGTTCCAGGTTCCTATAGCTGCAGTGTGGGATCCTCTGCACTCCTGTGCATGAAGGACAGACTTTTTAAGATCAAAGTTTTCGTCATTGTGCCGTAAGACTAATCACGCTAACGGGGCTAACACGACGTCCAAGTGTCTGTGGTAAAACTCACCCAACGAGTCGTGCTACCGGCTGTTAGCTTCTCAACGACGTCGGGAACGACGGCTTGTAACTCGGGTAACGTTACGTCGGGAAAAATATCTCCGACTGGGGACGATGTAGCGAGGCTCAACGTAGTCCATAAATCTTCGGAATGCGACATCCTCGCCAACGACAAATAAAACTTCCACACCGCCGACATTTTGAATATTCCTCTCCGCCGTGAGATCGGGCAGGCGCGCGTGACGTCAAGGCAAAAACGGCGCCTTTTATATCGGCGAGTTATTTTGATCGAATGCCCGATGTCCAATATTGAACCAGTATTGAACTTTAACGCCAATGTCGGCCGATACCATGCTGATAATATCATGCATCCCTAGTGTGTGTTGTATTAAAAAGGATTTAATTTATTTGATTTGTTGGGTCTATGAGGTCTATGCACAAAATCACTCCAAGGGCTGCAAATGGCCCCCGGGCTGCACGTTGAACCCCCGTGCTTTAGGATGAATGTAAATATTATTATAGGACTGTTTACATGTTGCTGTATCAAACCTTCATGTCTTATAAGATCTATAACACTTTTTTTTTTTTTTTTACCATTCCCTCTTCTGGCAGGAAACTCGAACACTGGCAGAGATCGCCAAAGCTGAACTGGACGGGACTTTGTTGAACAACAGACTTATAAAAGTCCGCTTTGCTACGCATGGAGCCGCGCTCACCGTTCGTAATCTGCTGCCGGTCGTGACGAATGAACTCCTGGAGCAGGTAGAGTGGAGCGCAGGAAAAAGGCTGTAAGCCTTCTGGCAGTTAGAGGGTTTTACGCATCAGGACAAATGGTCTGTTTTAGCCTGAAGTGTACAAAACCATGCATTACAGCTTAAACAAATTCCACTCTTGCTCTTGCCATATGCTAAAAGAGGGAAAGTAACAGCCAAGATCTCCATCGCAAGGCTCTGTTACAAGATGCTGTTCTGGTGTGCTGCTGAGCGAGGTAGTAGTAGAGGCGAAACAGCTGATGTGTAAAACTCAGCAACAGTGCTGCAGCTCGGTAATCTGTTGTGAGTGACCCTCCGCTCAAGGGATTAAACAACAGATTTATTACCTCTCAATGGGAATAACCTGTCTAAATAAAGGTTGAATGAAAAATTACCAAGAATAAATGGATGCTGACGCGTAGAAACTTTATAGTCAGTTTAAAAAAAATAGTTAACCACTAGGGCTGGGTGATATGGACCAAAATCAATATCTTGATATTTTAAGATAAATGGCGATATACTATATATATATATATATATCAATATTTTTTTCTTTCCATAAAGTAATAACAAAAATATATTTCTGAGTCAAAGTCAAAGGGGTTGAGGTGTTTTCTTTCTCCCACACATTTCACATCAACTTGGTCTTTCTCTTTGTTTAAATGATTATGACATTTCTCAAATCTTCTCAGGCATTTTCTGAGTTCGGGCTGGTGGAGAGGGCCATCGTCGTGACGGATGATCGAGGTCGTCCCACCGGGAGAGGCATCGTGGAGTTTGCAAACAAAATAGCTGCTCGTAAAGCTCTGGAGCTTTGCACCGAGGGAGCGCTGCTGCTGACCACGTAAGAGTGTCAAAACTTTTAAAAAACAACTAAAAGGCTGTGCAGAGAATCTGCTGCCACTTCAGAGTCCAGACATTTGGTTGCACTTTGACCATGTTTAGAGGCGGAGCAAGAAATTTATACAATTAATGCGTTTGTGCAAGCAGCCTTTTAAATTCTGAGCCGTCGTCTTCTAGTGTATTTGGGACACGTGATAACAAAATATGTCATAAAACAGAAACATCTGTTCTCGATCTTGCACCAAAAACATTTAGGTTTACTGGCAGTCCTTGTTGAATTCCAGTCTAGAAAAACACTCGTCTCAAAACCTACAAAAATTCAAAAATCCTTCAGCCACAGGGGACGTCGACGTACCGCTTGTTATTTTTATTTATTTGTGTCGCTTAAATAATATAATTCCGTGCTATAAATATGAAAATATAATAAAAACATCAATCCTTTGCCACGGTTCCCAAAAGCGCCATGTTTGAATCAAAGCCACCTTCCCATTGCCGTTTAAAGACGTAAATAGGCTTTGTTTGAATTCTGTCGTCGGCCATCTTCAGCTCATTTCATGGAGTTCCTCAGGGTTCAGTGCTTGGACCAATACTCTTTACCTTAGGTAAAGTTATTAAACAGCATGGGATAAAATTTCATTGTTACGCTGATGATACACAGATATATTGGTCCCTGAAACCCAATGAATCCAATCAGGCTCCTCTCTTGTGGAACCAACTTCCAGTTTCTTTACATGAGGCTGACACATTGTCCAGTTTTAAGACTGGGCTCAAGACTTTCCTTTTTGATAAATCCTATAGTTAGGGTTGGCTTGTTATGCTGCCTTAAGCTTAGACTACTAGAGGACAAACTCACCTCATTTCCTTAAATTAATTGATAAAATTGAATAGTTTTCATTTGATACTATTTCTGTCTTAATGTGATTCTTGACCTGCCATTGTGTATCTGTTCCTACCAAACCCAGCCGCTCGAAGCAGATGGTCCGCTTGTCCTGATCCTGGTTCTGCTAAAAGTTTCTTCCTCATGAGGGAGTTTTTCCTTTCCACTGTCGCCTTCATGCTCGCTCAAGAGGAGAGTTCTGTGATGGAGATGCATTCAAAACTGTCTGCTCCTCAGAAAAATGGTGTTAAATTATAATTTTTTTAAATATGAACGTTTCTGTTCAGTGCCCTGAGATGACTTCTGTTGAGTCTTGGCGCTATATAATTAAACATGACCCGAATAGAGTCCATGGGAAAAGGCCAATGTTTTTTTGTTGTCCTTCTCTTTGTAGAGTAGCATTGGAGACCTGACGAGCTAATGCTACCAACTTAATTAGCGACGACATTAGCCTCTGTACTGGCCTGCTTTATTTCACAGATACACGTGCTAACTCTTATTTTTTGCTAACTTACAACAGAGTTATGTTGAGAGATGCAGGTGGAACATTTCTGGCCTCTGGGCTTGTTCAAACAGCCGATTTTATTTTTTTAAACGCGGTGGGAAGGTTCAGGAGAATTGTCATTCTACAGCTGACAGGTCTTAACAACAGGTGGGGTTGGGTGGTGTAGCTCGATGCTACATACGATCAGAAAAAACCCTGCAGTGTGATTGGAACTCTTAGATTTAAACAGCAGGAACGGGATGATGGAAAACTGCAAACTGGTGTTATTGGTTGTTTTTTTTTCCAGTACTCCTTGTCCCGCCATCGTGGAGCCTATGGAGCAACTTGGTGACGAAGATGGCCTTCCTGAAAAGTTGCTACATAAATCTCCCAAGTACCATAAGTGAGTCGTGTGCTTTAAATCTTTCTTTTTTTAAGTCACTGCAGATTTCTTTAAAAACATATATATTTTAAAATTCCCTCCAGGGAGCGGGAGCAGCCGCCACGTTTCGCCCAGCCGGGCACATTTGAGTTTGAATACGCATCTCGCTGGAAAGCTCTCGATGAGATGGATAAACAGCAACGAGAACAGGTGGACAAAAACATTAAAGAGGCCAAAGACAAACTGGAGACTGAGCTGGAATCGGCTAAACATGAACACCAGCTCATGCTAATGAGACAAGGTAATGTTTATGTTTGTCACTTTGAAGTTTTAAGACTTGCAAATGTAGTTTGTTGGTTCTTTGTCCTTTTTTCTCAGTTGTTTTTTTTATAAACAGTTTAAAATGTTCTGATTTGTCATGTTTAGTGTAGTTCACCAATGCTGCCACCTAAAATGCTTAAAAATCTTAAAAATTCTAAATGGTTGTTCCACAAGGCTGTATGTTCGGGCCACTGCACTTTTTGTTTATAATGGACTATCTGAAAGCTCGTTTAGTTTTTTTTTCCTTTTCAAATTAATTTTTTTCAATCTTTTTTTTAAAATTTCCTTAGATTTAATGAGACGACAAGAGGAACTGAGAAGATTAGAGGAGCTTCGCAACCAGGAGCTGCAGAGACGAAAGCAGATAGAAATGAGGTTTGTCTTCGTGGGGCTGAACGTTTTGTTTTTTGTTTGTATTTTTTACATAAAGGTTAAATTATTAGTCTGGCTATTGTCATTTAGAGTCAAGTAGAATGAAAGTTTATTTACGCTTTTGTTAAAGTAACAACCCACAAAAGTCACTGAAATAACTTGAAACTAACAAATGTACGAAAGAGAAAAAATATATTACTTTTGGTTCAGCATAATAATAATAAAAAAAATAATTAAAAAAAAGCAAATGAAACTGGTCTTGACTAAAAGGATGGTACCTCTAGAAAAGATGGGTTACTTTGACCGTAGGGTTGCGTTAAACTAAACTGTGTCCTGTAATCAGCATCTCAGGTGTCTTCAGTCTTGTAATCAGTCATTCTGCCCATTTAAAGGGGAACAGGTAGTCACAGGACTGTTTGCTCTCATGGTGTGTAACACACTGACCACAGAAAGATGAGGACAGCGTCGCTTAGAAAGAACATAAATGACGTCATTTTAAAGGGTCGTCTCCGAGCAGCTCGATGTTCCTCGGACTTCAGCTGCACAGATTATTCAGAACTTTAAGGTCCACGCAGGACTGGAGACAACCTCCCTGGACGTGTCCACAAGAAGATAAACGACGAGACGGATAATATGAACAGTAACCAGGAAGTCCAGAACAACTTCCAAAGAGATTAGAGGTGAACTCTGAGGTCAAGGGTCATCAGTGTCAGAACTCACCACTGGTCTCTGTTGGAGACAAAGTGGACCTAATTGAAGACGACAGAGGACATTAAATCAGAAGAAACGCCAGACTGGAGTTTGCATATTGAGGATCCACAAAGGTTCTGGGAGAATGTCCTTTGGACAGATGAAGCAAAACTGGAGCTTTTTGACAACAAGTCCCATCAGCTCAGAGTTCACGGACCTGACAAAGAGAAGAACCTGGTACCTTCAGTGAAACATGCTGGAGGCCCGGTTCTGTTCTCAACCCGGCACAGGACACGTTTACATCTCAAGACTATCAAGGCTGGAGCCCAATGTAGCCAGAAAGCTTCTTCTCAGCCACAGGTCAAGTCCTTCAACAGGATAGTGACCGAAAACACCCAAGAATGGCTCAGAACCAAACACTGGACCATCTTGAAGTGGACACCTGAGGACAGGTGCAGAAGTCTCGAGGGTTACAGACGGTACTTCTTTTTATTAACTTGTGCACGTTTCTGCACGTACACAGAGGGTTCAGACGACGTTCTTTTAAAGCAAAACTGACGATACTCAAACACAAAATGAGCTTAGAAGGGACAACGTGTAAAAATAACAAATGCAATTAAAGATTGTACAGATGATGCTGAAAACGTAGGCAGGCTCCATCACGAAGCTCCCGTTTGTCGCTTTACTTCTACTCAGACACGAGGAGGAGAGGAGGAGGAGAGAGGAGGAGATGATCAGGCACAGAGAGCAGGAGGACATAAGACGCCAGCCGGAAGGCTTCAAACCAAACTACCATGAAAATGTGAGTAACGAGCTCAGAAACGCGTATAACGAGTAGCTTTATAAATCTGTAATAAACATTTAACAACAGTTTTGTTTTGTTTTTATGTTGTGGTTGTTGCACTTTGTTCAGATTACAATCACTCAAATTACCTTAAATTACTAGAAAAAAAGTGTTTCCTGAGCCAGAAGTGCAGTAGAGACTATCAGTGTTTAAAAATATATATAGTTTTAGAACATTTCAGCCTATCCCTCCATCATCGATATGTTTTACTAAAAATCTCTAGACCAGATAATACGTCACTTCATTTATATAGCACATAAAAACAACAGCTGACCAAAGTGCTTTACAGTTAAGACGGATAAAAAGAGTAAAACATGCATCTAGTGCCACTCGGAAACATAAGAACGTTAACAATAAATACACGACGACAATAAAATCAGCTCAAAATTTGTTCTCGGACTCTGCGTGGATCAAATGCCAAGGAATCCAGATGAGTCTTCAGCAAAGATTTAAAAGTCTCAACAGTCTGAGCCGTCTTTAAATTCTCTGGTAAACTGTTGCAAACTTTACAGTGCGACAGCCTGGATGGGTAGCTGCACAATCATATATGAGCAGAGCGAACAGGAGGGGGCTCAGCACACATCCCTGAGGAGAGCCAGTGCTGAGGGTTATGGTGGAGGAGGAGAAGTTGTGGATCCTCACAGACTGTGGTCTGTTTTTTAAAAAAGTCTAGGACCCAGTTGCAAATGGAGGGGCTTAGTCCTAGTGTGGATAGTTTGTCCATCAGGGTTTGGGGGCTCATGGTGTTGAAGGCGGACGTGAAGTCCACAAAGAACATCTGGACGTAGGAGCACGACTGTTTCAGGACTGGATTTATTGACTTGGTTAGACAGGAAATTTGGATATAAATGTGATGCCACACTGAACTGTATTTATAAATCTGAAGCGCAGGTAAATAAGAATTTATAAATATTCAGAATCTAAATTAAATCTGAATTATCCTTACTGATATATGATGTGTCAATTTAATTCATAAAACCAAAAAGCATGGCTTTAGAATTAAGCCATTAAATGACCTAAAATCTCACGAGAACAACGGACAAATACGCATCTTGTGACTTTCTTGTTTACTCTTGTTCGTGTTGTGAATGCAGCCAAAGATTCTTCAGTGTTTGTTTGAGATACCACTTTGATCCCAGTTGCTAATTTTTTCTTTAGAAATATGAATTTCAATTTGTATGTATGAATACAAGCTACCTGGCAGTCACATACAACTGTTTTTATATTCAAAACCGCTTTTATTACGCGTTCTACTGTTTATCTTACCCTCGCAGCAATAACTCCGTGTGACTCTTATGTTGCTGTTTTTTAAAAATGTGCGAGCCGCTTCAGTGCAGCGCTTTTTAAAGGCGTACGCCGTAAATATGTGTAATGTAAATATTTCAGCTCAAGCTCCGAGCAATAAGGAGAACTCGTGTTTGAGTTTTGCTACTGCCGTTGGACCTCACGTAATTTGTTTCCAATTTTAAGTATACTCTGAATTGTTTATATTTTCTAACAAAAACCCAATTTAAGTGTTTTTTAGTTTTTAAACCGGTGCTTTATGAAGAAGGTCCTGAATGTCTTTGCTGTCATCTAGTAGGTTTTATCCATTTCTTGACACATGAGGCGTAATTGCTCTCTTCTAGTAGTTTATTCTAATAAAATTGTAGCATTTACCATATTTTTTGGACTATAAGGCGCATTAAGTGAAACAAAACAGACAACTCAACATTGTTCAGTTGTACCACATACTACATACTACATAATGCGTACTGGGTTATGAATAAATCTGGTATGGTATAAGGTTCCCTGCTAATTTTTGAGAAAATTAAAGGATTTTAAGGGTGCCGTATAGTCCGAAAAATGTGGTCTACTATTAAAAGGTAAGTCAGAGAGTCAGAGTCAGAGTTTCTTTATTGTCATTCTCACCTCATGTGGTACATGTGGTGGAGCGAAATTATGTACACAGGGTCCCAGTTACATCCAACAACAAAATGTCTAAGAAAAACAGTAATAACATCTAAGATATGAACTAAGAAAAACATCAGCTAAATATACACTAAGCACTCATAACATAAAACATTGAACATCAGCACAAACATGAACATGAGTCTGTGAGCAGATGTGCACGCATGAACACATCAACATTGAAACAGATCAGCAGCAACATGAAACAGATCAGCAGCAACATGATATGTTTTTTCACAGTGATTATTCTAGTTAGAGATTCATGAGTCTAACAGCCTCAGGGTAGAAGCTGTTCCTCAGTCTAGTGGTTCTACACTTAATGCTCCTTAACCTCCTTCCTGAGGGGAGTGGGGCAAAAAGTGTGTGTGCTGGGTGGGGTCCTTCATGATGCAGGTGGCCCTCTTCCTGCATCTGGAGGTGTAGATGTCTGTGATGGTGGGGAGGCTGATTCCAACAGATTTCTGTGCAGCCTTCACCACTCTCTGCAAAGCTTTTCTTTCTGCAGCTGTGCAGCCTCCATGCCACACATTGATGCTCGAGCACAGGATGCTCTCCACTGCACACCTGTAGAAGGAGGTGAGGACTGAGCTTCCCAGACCAGCTCGCCTCAGCCGTCTGAGGAAGTAGAGTCTCTGATGAACTTTCTTGATCAGGCTGGTGGTGTTGTTGCTCCAGCTGAGGTTGTCATTCATGTGTACACCCAAGTACTTGTAGCTGGAGACCACTTCCACCGCAGATCCTCTTATGTTCAGGGGGATGTAGGTGTTTTTGTTCCTTCTGAAGTCCACAATCATCTCCTTTGTCTTCTTCACATTGATGTGAAGGTTATTCTCTCTGCACCAGCTCTCCAGGTGTTCCACCTCTTGCCTGTAGCTGGACTCATCATTGTTTGTGATGCATCCCACCACCGCTGTATCATCTGCAAACTTTACAATGTGACAGCCTGGATGGGTAGCTGCACAATCATATGTGAGCAGAGTAAACAGAAGGGGGCTCAACACACATCCCTGAGGAGAGCCAGTGCTGAGGGTTATGGTGGAGGAGGAGAGGTTGTGGATCCTCACTAACTGTGGTCTGTTTGTTAAAAAGTCTAGTACCCAGTTGCAGATGGAGGGGCTTAGTCCTAGTGTGGATAGTTTGTCCATCAGGGTTTGGGGGATCATGGTGTTGAAGGCGGATGTGAAGTCCACAAAGAGCATACGGACGTAAGAGTTTTTCTGCTCCAGGTGGTTGAGTGCAGTGTGGACCACAGAGGAGATTGCATCCTCTGTTGATCGGTTCTCACGGTATGCATACTGATGAGGGTCCTCGTTGATGTTGATGGTTGTTTTGATGTGAGTCATGACCAGTTTTTCGAAGCATTTAGCAACTATCGGGGTGAGGGCCACTGGCCGATAGTCATTCAGACCAGTCACTGTAGAGCTTTTTGGGACTGGGATGATGGTGGCAGTCTTCAGGCAGGTGGGAACTGTCTCCAGGGTAAGTGAGGTGTTAAAGATGTCTGCCAGCACCTCACAGAGCTGATCAGCACATTCCTTCAACACTTTTCCGGGGATGTTGTCTGGGCCAGTTGCCTTGTGCGGATTAATCCTCCTAAAGGTGCTCCTTACTTCTGCTGAGGTCACGCTGAGATGCTCTTCATCCGGTGGCGAGGTGAGTCTGGTGCTGGGTGGTCTGTTCGGGTCTTCAAAGCGTGCATAGAACTTGTTGAGGGCATCAGGCAGAGATGGGTCTTTGGGGCATTGTTCACTCCTTCCTTTATAATCTGTTATGCACTTAATGCCCCTCCACATGCTCCGAGGGTCTTGTGAGATGAATTGACCCTCGATCCTCTTTGCATATGTGGCCTTGGCCCTCTTAATACCAGCAACCAGCTCTTTTCTTGTCCTACTCAGCTCCTCTGAGTTTCCAGACCTGAAGGCAGTGTTCCTGGCTTCCAGCAGGGTACGCACCTCTGCATTCAGCCAAGGTTTTCTGTTTGGGTAGCTTTTGAATACACATGTTCAGCTTTTCCATGAACGTCCATCATAGTTACTTATTCTCCAGGTGTTGCATGTTGGTAACCTGTTTGTTGTTTAGATATTGAAGTTTGAGGTTTTCATCTGTTGCCGTCGGTCTTTTTTCCATCAGATTTATTCCTAATAAAACTTGTCCCTCAAGCAAAGTCGGTCCATTTCACCAAAATAAGTGTTTTTTTTTTTTTATTCAGTGTTTGCAGCATCATAAACTGTAGCCCTGTTTACACGAAACCTTAATCCTTGACTGATGCATCTAAATGTGCTTTGGACCACCTGAGACCACTTTACATAATCTTTATAAAAACTTTTTGGATTTGTTTGTTTTTCAGACTTCCAGCGCTTTGGCATCTCAATCTGTAGAACTACGTTCAGGTTTTTAAATCAAGTCAACTTTATTTATGGAGCACATTTAAAACAGAACCTGTTATCAAAGAGCTTAACAACAACAGCAATGGGAGTAAATGAGAAAAAAATACAATGCACTAATAATAATAACTGAAGAATTAATAAAAAGCATTTAAAACATAAGGTCACAGATTAAAAAACACTAGATCAATTTACATTGTGTGAAATACCTGAGAGAACAGATGTGTTTTAAGGAGAGATTTGAAGTGAGGAATGGAGGTGGCCTGCCTGATGTTGGGGGGCAGGTTGTTCCAGAGTTTGGGGCCCATGACTGAAAAAGCCCGATCTCCTCTGAGCTTCTTGTTTTTGGAACAACCAAAAGCAGCTGATCGGATGATCTCAGGGCCCGAGAGGGAACGTAAGGTTCCAGAAGCTCAGAGAGGTGAAGGGGTGCGAGGCCATTTAGGCATTTGAAGGTCAACAGAAGAATTTTAAAGACTGTCCTCGTACGAACAGGGAGCCAGTGAAGGGAGGACAGAACTGGAGTAATATGTTCGGACCTACGAGTTCCGGTTAAAAGCCGAGCAGCAGCATTCTGGACTAGCTGAAGACGTGAGATGGAGGCCTGGCTGACCCCAGCATACA